AAAGAAGAAGCAGGCAAAATAACAAGGCCTCTTGATTATTACTACCCCAAAAGTAATAAAAAATACATCAAGCTAGGAGAAAACATTCAGAAGATCAAGAAAACATTGGAAGGCAGTCATAAATGAAAACCAGCTTTAAAAAAAAAAAAAATTTACCAACTGTTTTTTAAAGTTCTTATGGGTTAGGAATAAGCTTATAAAAAAACATAGAATTTAGACATTGGCAGATAATGCAGCTATTTAAATTTTTGTCAATGATACACTCTGTATCATAAATTACTATCCTAACAGCCAGGTGTATAGAACAGTCAATCTAGTACATGTTAAGAAAGATAGCAGGTACAACAATATTAAAGTGTTTATTAATTTGTGTATAAACACCTCATACATCTGCAATATCTCACACATTTCACCATTAAAATGGTTTCTAAGTCTTACTAGTTTTGATTTGTCAAATATTACTGTTGTTAACTACTGAAGAAATCATGTTTTGTTTAGTCAAAACAGTTTTGGTCACATACACCAAAAAAACAAAACAAAACAAACACAGCAACATTACTCTTAATATCTTTCAAGTTAAGTAAATTTTTAATGAAATAATAACTTCTGTGAAGTCTTACTGTTTTGTTTTCATTTGAAATGAACACCACATAACAATACTGGAGTAGGTCAGGTTGCTCATTTTTCACATATTCACAAAGTTTCCAAACATTTTCCTCACTGAAAAAAAAAAAAAATATTACATGTGTATTATCAATAAGTATAGTTACAATAAAAATTGTTTGATATATAGGAAAGGTCTCTTAGGAGATCCTGAAATTCAATCAGTAACAGAAAGTTGGTGGATTTGTCTAGTATTATACTACAAGTAATATTTCTAACTAAACTGAAAAGTCTTAATTGTACTTCGGTGTAAAAATCCAAGAGTATGTTTTGACCTTTAAACTTTACTTGATACTAGTAATATGTAGATTCACACAAATCAAATGATGATACACATGTTTATGTCTGGAAGAAAAAGAAAGCTATAACTTGACATATTATTCTACAAAGTTTTTACTATTTGTCGACTGATGATGAGAAGGATATTAATACCACCTATTAAGATATTAATACGAGTTTCAAGTAGCAACTAAATTAGTATTTTTGAAAAGGCCAGGTTTATAGAAAAGATTGTCAAAAGAGGGATGCTTCTTGAGGAAAATTTTATTCAATGATGCATTGGGATACATTTAGAAATAAATTAAATCTCTACACAAATGAGAACATTAGGCATGAAATATCTAGTATTATACATTAGGCATATTATTAAACATCAATAAAAATCAGTACCCAACACAATCAAGAATTGGGTGTAGTGTTTAAGCACTAATACATGATGCAGACAGAACTAAAGATAAAAGTACCAAAGAAAGCCAAAATGTTAAGAGTAATTACTGTTACCAAGCCAACTGCAATAGAAGCATATGAAAAGTTGTTAAGCAGAAGAATGTCTAAATGTGGTACACATAAAAAAAATGAAAATATTTAATTTAGTTCATACATATGAAACAACACATAACACTTCTCAAGAGACACCTTGCAATTGTAACAAGAATCATACTAAAATGTTGCATTTAATCAAAAACATGCTCAACCTCTGTCACAAATGTGAATTAACTTCAATTAAGCTGTTTAGACCAACGTCTAAGGGTAAGAAAATACAACAACTGATGACATAATTTAAAAGAATGATAAAAGTCCTGAAAAGATTCTTCATGCAATAAACAATAGTGATTTATCCTGGTAAGGTGTAACAACTGATTTGGACAAAAATCAAACTTAAGTAAAAAAAAAGTTAACTTTATTTTTTGGAAGAAAAGGTTAGTAAGAATAAGGGCATAATATGTCTATGGCATATAAGAAGACAACAACAAGGTTCTTCATTAAATGACTTATGAGCAACTTCATAATTCTAAATCCCAAGAGGTTAAATAATAAATATTTGAAAATAAGTAGACAAAAAAGCATCCAACCTGGAAGAATAAAAAGAAATAAGTAGACAGAAAAAAGGCATCCAAAATTTGAAAGCATAATTAGAAAAAGAAGTAGACAAAAGAGGCATCCAATCTGGAAGGATAAAGAGAAAAAAGTAAGTTGACAAAAAAAGGCATCCAATCTGGAAGGATAAAGAGAAAAAAGTAAGTTGACAAAAAAAGGCATCCAAACTGAAAGGATATAGAAAAAAAAAAAGAAGGCCAGAACAGATATTCCAGATCAATAAATTTTCTAAATGTATTAAGAAATTTCAAAAGAAGAATGACAAGAAAAACAAATAACTATATGTAGAACACTGTGGCTCATCTGGAGAACCCGATACCAACTATTTTCTTTGAGATGAAAGATTATTGTGTAAACTGTTGTAGATAAGAATGTACCATGGATGAAGAAAATCCTCTAGGTGAAGTCAAAGAATTATAGGAAACCAAGACAGAGATAGTTGGTCCTAATGAAAGTCTGGATTATTTAGAGAGGAGGTACAAACATTAGTAGACTGATCAGGCCAAAATGGATAATGTAATCTAGTTCAAAAATTGTGTTAAGAGTCCTTAAAGATGGAAATTACTTTATTAACTAAACTTGATCATAAAATATCCTTACTTAAAATCAGTATAATAAAAAAAATTTTAGATGAAATACATAATCTTTTGATTAAAAGTGGAAACTGGATGTCAAAGTATACACACTATATTACAAAATGGAAGTAGCAAGATAGACCTGTGTTTAGTACAACAAAAACAGTACAAGTACAAATTTCTGTCCAGGCATAACTTCACAATATATCTGATCTCTAGCTATAGAAGAACAAAGGAAAGGCTATTTGATCCATTGAAGACGACCCTGCATCCTACAAAACAACCAAAGAAATTATGAAAATGATAATGTAGCCTCTAGTATGGAATACTTTCTCAGTTTGTAGACTAAGTTCTACCAATAATAATTTAAACATCTGAACTATGAAATATTTTAAAATAATCTTCACAACTTATATTTATCTTAATTATAATACAAGACAATACTGACGGGAAGGAAAAAATTCTCTCTCACAGTTAAAGTACATATAAATATTGTTTGTGTTAAATACATACATCTTCACATTAAAAAAAAAAAAACTAACTCAGATTTAATTTCCATTATTATAACAAAAATTCACAACTGACGATGAACTGAACTATTCCAAGCTTTCACAGTTTGTTGCATACACTATCAATGAGATCATGTTAAAGTAGTACAGATTTTTTAATAGTATATCTAAATGCTTATCTAAGCAAGTTTGAGACCAAACAGTTAAATCTATTGATAAAGGAACGAAATTCATAGAATTCAAGTAACTGAATATTTTTTAAATGTTTCACCTTTAAAAATGCTTTACTGTTTTCAATTATATATATATATATATATATATATTATTTTTTTTATTTACTCGATATTTCCAGCTACACAGAAGAAAGAGGAAAAATAATATTTTGATTCAAACCTTTACAAGATTTCTATACAGAAATTAGTTTTGTTTGCCAATTAATGATTTCAAAATCCTTCTAAATTAAGCTTTGATTATTTATTATTATTATTTAATGTTAAAACTTACCAGTAAAATGGTGTATAAGAACATTCTTGTGCTTCTGGAATAGAAAGCTTTTTCAAGGATTTTAATTCCATTCCTAAAGCAGATGAATTGACCAAATATGGTTTACCTATACCAATAAATAAAGGTTTATAGTAAGATTTTATGAAAATGCTTGAGAGTGAATGCACCTTGGACAAAATGAATTGTTATGAAGCAGCTAATTTCATAAAACCTAGTCATAATTTACAACCGCTTTCAAATTCGATGACGAGGAACCCACTTTAAGATTAATAATGATTGGAGATGGCTTGCATATGGTACCTGATGATGACAAAACCTTGTTGGAACGTTGTACATTTGCTGTTATTAAACTTATATTAAAGTTTTTCTTCATTACCCATTCAAGCCATCTCCAAGCATTATTACAAATGCTTTAGGGAAACATACTTTTTACTAAAAATATTCACAAGAGCAGCAAACTTCATTAATCCTACAGTCAAAATGTCTATAAACACACCCTAAAATTCTACTAGTTTTCTTACTAGTAACAGAGCACAACTTTGATGGATTGAGTGACTTATTCACCAATATTAAGGTGACCATATTTTCTAAGCCAAATACAGGAACACTTGTATGAAAATTTGTACCTGTACTCATCATAATTCCACATGCAAGCAACATTTACACTTCTTTCACAAAACCATTTTCACCCACTAACCATTAACTCAAATACTCAATACCGTATCTTATGCCTTAAATATTATATCATCACACTCTTAAAAAAAAGAAAAAAGAAGATATATTCAAGGTTCTGGCAACTGCACCAGTATCATCACATGATGATGCTATACTTAAGCTTAAAATTATAAGGACAAAAATTTGGTGAATATTTATTTCTTCATATTATATATAGGAAATGAAATGTATGGGTATTTAAGGGATGATTTTTTTCAAGCCTAGGACACTTTTGGGACTATTTATTTTTTTGAAAAACAATTGTCATCCAATAATTGTCTTTGAAAATCCAGGGGACGTATGGTCATCCAAACCAATATGTCAAAACTTTTTCTCCAGTCACACTATTGAGTTAGTCCCCCATCTACTTTAAACATGTAATCCAAATTATAATAACCAAAGTGCTTATGGTCAGTTGCAAAATATTTGTCCAATTTACTAACTGATCCAAGTCTTTCTGTGATGTTTTAACATTCTCAATATAGCTAGAGATAACAGAGTTTAATATAACCACAAGCAAAGTTCACTAATGTATTAATTATGCCCCTATAAATATTATTAACATAAATAAGAAAAAGCAAAGGCTCATGAAGACACCCCTCAGATAATCCACTAATAACAAGAGTTCAATTTGGCTGGACTCTATTAATAATAAACTTTTAATTTCTCCCATCAACCACCCTAGAACTGAAGTAACTGGTCTTTCTCCAACCCTTAAGGATGTGATTTTTTAAGATAATCTTTTGCACAGCATTTTATCAAAAGCTTTTTGAAAATCTAAATACACCAAATTCACACCCTTTTTTTAAGTCCAGATTAGAACTGGGCAAACTTGATATAATCATTTACCTATGAACACAGATTACAGTGATTAACAATTTAAATTATTGATTACTAAAATTACGATTCAATTAATTAGTTTTATGAAAATAAATAATCAAAAGTAGTGTTTCCAATTATTACTGCTTTTGATCATTCCAAATACCCAAGTAATCAAAATATTGCCATTATTATTTTTGATTAATTCATGTTTGTTCAATTTAATCTATTAGTATCATAATTAAGGAAAATAAGTGTAACATTCGCATTCTGCCAACTCAAAATAATGAATTTTTGGCTCACTTTGCACTAGAATATTATTTTGCACAAAATAATGACTAATTCTAATCTTATAATCTTATTTTTCTTTACCTCTAACAAGTGAAGTGGCGTGTGATAACTTTATTGTCCCATTGTACAGTAAAGACACATATAAAGTGTTCATATGCTTGATATGTTAATCTCATCTGCAATTTTTTGTTTTATTCAGTCTTGTTGCCAAAAATCTAAAGAAATTTAGTACAGATTTAATCAATAAATTTTATCATACTCTTCGTGTAGTCAATGAAAATAGTCAAAAGATTTAGTCAAGTCCTAATTCATTGAATTAGATAGTTACGTTATCTTTTAATCCACATATGCTTGTCTCTCTGTATATTATATTTATGAAAAGTAAAGGAAGTCTACATATTGAAACAGTTTAAGCAAGGAGCAGGTTGACCAGAAAGAGACAATACAAAAAAAAAAAGACAAGAATATACTGATATGCACTCCAAAGAATTATTATTTAGTTCCCTTAAATGATCCTCATATTTGAATGATCCTCATATTTTGGACTTAATTTCAAGCCTTTAATGTTAAGAACTGAAAGTATTTAAGACTGCAAATTACTATTGAAATACCAAGTAACTTACCCTCAGTTCCTTACTGAAGTGTATAAACAACATACATAAATGCTCAAACAATGAACATACCCTTTTAGAATAGTTTTCAGTATCTTCAGCTAAGCTCAATTTGTACTAACCACCTCCCCATTCATTCCACTATCTACTTTTTTGTTTCCACAAATCATTCATTTTCACAAACATATTTTTCGAAAAGATAATTTTGTCTAGATTCAGTAATTCTAATCATTTTGTAGGGTCATATGATCATTCCACTCATTGTTGATGAAAACATAAAACACCTCAGTGATGAACATTTTCATCAAAAAATCCATCAATGAAATTAACAATGGTGCTTGCTTACCTTATTTTAGGTTCTATCTAAAGAAATACTGAATACAAGTCTAAAGAATACATAATTTCATTGTGTGTATACATGTCATTGGTTAGGCCACATTTGGAATACTGTGTTCAGTCTTGGGCTCCTTACCTTAGGAAGGACATTGAACTGTTAGAAAGCACTTAGAGGAGGGCTACTAGGATGATACTTGGGATGGAAAGGTTGTCATATGAGAACAGGTTAAGATCTCTGAAATTGTTTTCCCTTGAAAAAAGAAGAATTAGAGGGAATCTCACTGAATTGTTTAACTTTGAGATTGTTAAGGGGATTGATAGTGATAATGCATCATCTTTCTTCATATTTAATGGAGAAAACAATAGTACTAAGAGACAAATATAAATTTTGGCAGGGTATGAGCCATTTTCAGCTTAGACAGCTTTATTTTTATAACAGTAACAGGGTGGTTGGACTTTGGAATGCATTACTTTCAGATGTGGAGGATACAGTTAATTTAAGGAAGTTTAATAAGAAATGGCTCGATAAACATTCATACTATGAGGACTAGCTACAAGTGTCTTATTTTTATTTTGAAGTTTAGTTTGGTAGATGGAATGGCCTAGATGGACCAACAGGTTGATTATATACACATTTGGATGCAGTATTGCTAATATAAATTCAGGGCTGTTTTTTTTGAGTTAAAATTATCAGTTATAACCTGGAAACAATTTCCTTACAAAAGCAGTTTGCTTTTAAACATTTAACCTATATATTTCCAAAGCCTTAATCGATAACTTTTATGAAAAGTTAATATTAAATTTTCAGTTCAGATCAGGGAAAATAAGATGTTGAGTAGGTCGTGTTCTATACCTTTCTGTTGTTTAATGTTCTAATCCAATGTAAAAAATTACATGTACTACAGTACTATTAAGTTTTAGTAGTAGGTAGCATTACTATCAGTTAGCCTAACACTATCATTGAGTATCACTATCAACTTAAATTGTTGGTACCATGTCACGGATAAATGGTGACAATAAAACTGACATTGTGATAAATGGTATCACTGTTTCTGTAATTACAAGTATTATTATCCAGTTTGAAATCATTATTTGGTATATAATTTACTACATTTACCGTTATAATAAAATTTAACCTGGGTAAGTTAGGCACAACAAAGTAGCACTAGCAGCAATGTTATCAGGATCACTCAGTCTACAGTACACACTAAACACAATCCGCCTCATACAAGTCAGCCAAATAAGTAGTAAACGAAAAATTAAAAAAAAAGTCAACTAGGATAGAAGAATACATAATTCACTTATTACATATTATATCAATGACTATTAAGAGTAACAAACAACAACTTTTCAATGGTACCAATAACAAACCAAAAATCCACATACCTCCGACTTTTCCCCCTCTGTCGGTTTACTTATTTCAATACAACTAAACGACACGTTGAACAATTTTAAAGATACACAGTATATATATTAGAAAGGGTAAAATATTCTTATTTATTCATTTTTTTGCTGTTAGCAGTTTCACATAAGTTAAACTTACACGTATTTATAAGATCCAGTTTTTTTAGTAGTACTTTATATCATCGGTCGATTTATTTCAATACAATTAAATGACGCGTTGACCAATTTTATGAATTTACAGCATATAATTAATAAAAGAGAGAACATTTCTTTCTTTTATTAATTATAAAAATCGGGATACGGTACCCGTGGTGGGCATAGCCCATTTTGTGCTTGTTATAGTTTTCATGCTATAACATTTAAATTAGTAAGCGTATGTTTACGAAATTCGGCAGATTATTAGTTAACATTACAATGCTTTCATACACACAAAATAAATTTTTTGTATTATTTCTTAAGGTTTCTTAAGCAATATTTTTCTCATACCATTTTTTCCCTTTTCACATGTTACGTATTCAACATGCAAAGTAATTTTCATTTTAAAATTAAAAATATCTTTATATATAAGAAAATTTTCAAATTTCACATGCGAAATCTTTATAATGTCCAGATAGTTATGAAACATTTTATAAGGAAGAACTTTATATTTTCTTTGTTACTTTCAGTAACGAATATCTACGGGTTTGATAGATTGGATTGATCTCGTAACCAATATGAAAAATTAGGAAATAAATATAAATTATGCTTCTTTCGTTCTAGAATGACTACATATTATAACACGAAAACATAAATGTTTAGACTAAATTGCTTAAATCTCATAACATTATACCTTTATATTTATTTATTATTTTACTATATTGACCTTTCAGCCATGTCTGGCTAACATCACAGAAGCTGTAATGACGCGGCGCACGTGCACTCATGTTACCGTATTCAATAATATAAAATGGACCTGTAGTCTTTACAAAGTGACCCTGTCGAACCAAGATTTCAAGCAGGTAGTTTGTGCATTTAGTCTGCTCCAAATTTCATATTTTTTAGACTGAAATACAGCTTTGTTTGGAATTTTGCACAAAGCTACACGAGGGCTATATGCACTATCCATTCCTAATTTAACATTGTAATACTAGAGGTAAGGAAGCTAGTCATCACCACCCACCACCAACTCTTGGAGTACCAGCGAATAGCGGGATGGACTGTCACTATATAACGCGAGCATGTTTGTTGGGACGTGGATTCGAACCTGCAACCCTCAGATAGATAGTCGAGACAAGCTTTAAAGAAGAATATTGACTTTCCCATTCAGAAACGTATCTGCTGGTCTTGAGAGAAAATACAAAATTGTGTATATATGTTTTTCTTTCTTTTTTTTACATATCTGTTGTGCACAGAACTAAATTGTCTTGATTTATACAGTACGTTAACAAGTTATTTTTGGAGCCAGGATGAATTAGCCAATGCTAGTACTATAACTCATTTTGATATTTGATGTAATTTGTTTTTTGGAACGCGATCTTCAGACAATTTACATGTGTTTGGAGTACGTTATTGGCCAGAACTATCCATGTGTAGGTTATATGATGACTAAGTGGATTTCATATAAGATAGATATGTGGAATTAGACTAGCCTGTGTTAAACAATTAACCAACTAAAAACACTGCCCATTTTTATAAAAGTTTATGCCATTCAATTCGATTGTGAGTACATGCACTTATTCAGTAGAAGATTGAAATAACTTTTCTTGTATTAAACATCCGATTTGTTTAAAAAAAGTTTTTACGTTATCTACCTTTATCGTACACATTGAAGATGGAAAAAAACACATTTTTTATTCTAATTGTTTGTAAAATTAAAAAAATAAACTATGTACTAATTTTTTAAATTGAATATGTTTCTTGGATGCTTGGCTCATGTGCATCGTTATAAAGAACTATCACAATTAAACAGTGTATTGTAATATAATATATCAGAGATATATATTACTGTATATTCCAATTCATATTAATTTATATATCCTTACTACTGAAGATGTCATAAAAACTATACATTAATCGTTAAAACATCAATTAAATATTTCGTTACAAACTTATGTTGCTGAAGTTTCAGAATGTGGTTTAATAAATAAGACTGAATGACCAACATTTGAAATTAATATTTTCATGCTTTTAAAAATAACTTCTCTAAAACATCATTATATATATATAGAAAGAATGGTATAAATGTTACATGAAAACTTCAATGTGATATTCTCAAGCCTATAGTTGTACCTTTGGCATCTTATATTTTGCTAGTCTAGTTGGAGGCATATTTGCACAAGTATTTTTTAGTCCCGAAGAATAAATCCTGCTCGTCAGAAAAGATTAAATCCCTCCCAAGTTGAGATGACAAGTAAGATCCTGTACTGAACTACGGCTTAATTGCACGAGCGGATGAGAAAGGAGTGCCTGTCCATTGGAGGTTAATCTCCAGCTACCAGCTGATACCCATCAGATAGCTGGGAAGACTGAAGCAATTGGGGTAAAGTGTCTTGTTTGAATACACAACAGCACGACTAGAGAAGGCCTCAAACTCAAAATTACACGATTACGAATCCAAAGCGACAGGCAACTGACCAACGCTACCCTAGTGCTGATAGTAATACATATTAAACTGGGTGATACTGTTTTCCCAATATATACTTGTGTGCAAGCGTTTGAAAATATTTTATCAGATATTTCTCTGGGAACATTTTGGCCCAGAGACCAATACATAGTACACTCTTATACTACAAGAAGATATAACTCTTAAAAACTACAAATCCAGTTTGACGATTTTTTTATCAAAAGGTTTTTTTAAACACAGATATTTAGCAGCTTCATACAGGAGAACAAACACTTTGCTTAAGTGGCTTTGACGATAAATGTTATTCCATAAAACGCGAGAAGAAAAAACTTGGATAAATGATAATAAAGAATAAACTGACACGTCTAAATGAAAAATTTTTTCCAGTATATTTTGTGCGACGTTTCGAGCAGACGCCCTTCGTCAGGCACTGTTGACCATGTTACAATGACCTGCTGTGCGTTGATAAACGTAATGATATAAGTTCAACACTAATATGGTTTACAACGAAATTGACAAATGCGGCTGTACTAAGAACGTTGGGTTTCTAAACAAACTTAATATGGTACAAGCCAGAAGGGTTTGTTTGTAGTTAAGCGCAAAGCTACGCAATGGGTTATCTGTGCTGTGTTCACTAAGGGTAT